AGAATCCCAGATTCTCAGTTGAAGAGAGAACCCTCTCCCATGTCCATTATATTGGGACAGCCCACACCCCCAAGGAAACATCCTTTCAGTTGATTGGCTGCTCATAGCCAATCATCATAGAGTTAACTATACCTGTATTAGGTTTCATCACCATGGGAATAAGCACATCTTAACTGGTAAACCACTGGGAATCCTGACCTAGTCAAGTTGAGAGAGAACCTTATTACACAATTTATGTCAAGAAATTTAGAAGACGGCTACTGGACTAAGTGACTGGAAGAGATCTCTATTTGAGACTATGTCAAGGTGATTAACCAATATCATTAATGTCACATGCTATCAAAATTTTGTTGAAGATAATTAAAAAATGACTATAGGCATACATTAACAGAAAACTGCCAGAAATTCAAGTTGGATTCAGAAGAGGGAACTGAATGAGGACTATCGTTGTAAATATCAGATGAATCTTGGCTGAAGGTAGAGAATAATAGAAAGATGTTTACCTGATTTTTATTGACTATCTGAAGGCATTTGTGTGGATCATAGTAAATTATAGGTAATGTTACAACGAGTGGGAATTACAGACAGTTGTGCTCATATATAACCTGTATGTGGATTAACAGTCCTTCAGACAGAACAAGGGGATACTATGTGGTTCAGAAATGTAAAAAGTGTATAACAAGGTTGTATCCTTTTACCTTACTTATTCAATATACATGCTGAATACATAATCAGAGAAGATAAACTGTATGATGAAGAATGCGATATCAGGATTAGAGGCAGACCATTAACATCTATTATCTGTATGTGATGCAACCTTGCTTTCCATAAATGTAGACACTTGAAAAACTACTGATGAAGGTAGTCATAGAATACTACCTTCAGTAGTACAGTTTCATTACCTGAACATGAAGAGAACAAAAATCCTCACTACTGGGCCAATAAATAACATGATAAATGAAGAAGAATTTAACACTAGTGGTTTAATTCTACTTGGATCAATAATCAGCACCCATGGATGCAGTAGTAAATAAATCAAGTAGTGAATAAATCAATGAATGTAGCATACTACATTGGGCAAATCTGCTACAAAATGCCTCCTTTAAGTTCAAAATGGTGAGACTTTGGCTCACTTACTTTGGACACATCATCAGGAAAGACTAATCACTAGAAAAGGACATTATGGTTGGTAGGGTGTCAGCAATAAGAAGGGAAACTCACCATGAGATGAACTGACAATAGCCAACACAGTGGACTCACAGATATCAATGGTCATGATGATGATCTAGGACTGGGGAGCCTTGAGTCTATTGTACATAAAGTTGCTATAAGTCAGAGCCAACTTGATGGTACCTAACAACAACAACAGGCTGATGTGGAGCTGGAGAAGGGGTAGAAATGATAAAATGTTGCATGCTGTACTACCTGTAGTTTCTAAAAGTTAAAACTACAACACTTTTATAAGAAAAAGACAACACAATTAAAAAATGGGCAAGAGGACATGAACAGACACTTTACCAAAGAAGATACCCGGTGGCTAACAAACATATGAAGAAGTGTTTGCGATTATTAGCTGTAGGATACAAATCAAAACAATGAGATACCATCTCAACCTTGAATTAATTGCAAAGTTCAAAACAGAAAACAAATGCTGGTGGGAGTGTGGAGAGACTGAGACCCTCCTATATTGTTGGTGGAACTACAAAATGTTTCAACCCTCTGGAAAGTGGTATGGTGCTTCCTCAAAATGTTAGAAATAGAAATACCATGACACAGTAATCCCTCTACTTGGTATAAATCCACAAGAAGTAAGAGCTGGGACACAAGTAGATATATGCATAGCACTGTTCATCGCAACACTGTTCACCATTGCAAAAAGATGAAGGCAGCCTAAATGCCCATCAATGGCATAATGGATAAACAAACGTGGGTACAACATACACAACAATGGAATACTACGCAGCATCAAAGAATAGTGATGAATCTGCAAAATGTCTCATAACATGGATGAACCTACAGGACATTATGCCGAGTGAAATTAATCAATCACAAAAGTACAAATATTGTATGAAACCAATATTGTAAAAATTCAACCAAAGGTTTTCATGCTGAAAGAAGTATTCTTTGATGGTTACCAGGGGTAGGATGGAAGGGAGAGTGATTCACTGACTAGAGGGTAGACATATGTAAGCTTAGGTGACAGGGAGGGCAATGTACACGTAGGAGGAGGTTGGCAGAAGAATTATGAAGACAGATAAAGACATGGAGGTATGCAAGGGATAAAGTGGATAGAGGTAAATAGTGCAAGAAAGGCAACCCTGGAACAACAGTGTTTTGTGGGTAGGTTCATGGGTTGACACACAGGTTGAATGGGTATGAAAGCACAAGTGGGAGTGTACCCACAAATATATAAGGGCTTAAAAGGATATTTATACATAGGTGTCTGTCTTTGCTGCAAACACACCTATTTATGTGGTGGAGCATGTTGTTGTTGTTAAGTACCATTGAGTCAGTTCTGACCCATCGCAACCCTTTATAGGATTTACAAGGAGTGGCTGGTGGGTTTGAACCTCCAGTCTTGCGGTTCAAACTGACCTTGTAGTCCAGTGCATTACCCTGCAGCACCACACCAAGACTCAGTGGTAGAGCATACGGGAGCAATATAATGAAAACTTAGATATTGTCTAACATCTTAAGGCAGTGAATTAGTTCTTGGGCCTGGGGGCACAGAGCCATATTCTTAGGGGACATCATGGCTAACTGGCATAACATAGTTCACAAAGACAGTGTTCTACATCTTACATTGGGTAGTAGTGACTAGGATCTTAAAAGCTCATGAGCAGCCATCTAAGACCAAGCAGTTGTTGGTCTCTCCATGTATGGAAGAAAGAAGAGTAAGGAAAATTAGAGATGCTTGGAATCATTTAGTCCAGCGGACCAGGAGAACAGGTGAACATTAGTCACTATGATTTTGATATTAAAATAACTAGATGGTGCCTGGCTATTAGTACCACTGCTCTGAAAGGGATCACATTAGAAGGTCCTAGATAGAGTAGGAGACAATGTGGAACAAAACTCAAAATTATAAACAGAGAAATCAGACTTACTGGTCAGAAAGCCTGGAGGCACCTGAGGCTATGGCCCTCCACCACCCTTCAGGTCTGGAACAGAAATCACCCTTGTGGCCCAGTGTTTAGCCAGGCAGTAGATAGGTTTATAAGGGGGACAGCAACACTAATAAGGTATGCTCATCATGGAATCGCCAATCATTCAAGATCAAAAGGACAACATTTCCCTAAAGACAAAATTGAGAGAGGATGGGAAGGAGAGTGGAATGGAAATAGGAACCAGAGGGAAGATGTGAGATAACTGTACTACATTGAGGGGATTGTAATCTTTGAGGTGAAATGAAGTGTAAGATTTGTTGAATATAAAATTGATTATCTTCTTTGTAAACCTTCACAATAAAAAATTTTAAAATATGTTATAGTCCAGTTCTATAAGAGTAAAAATCAAGTGTAATAAATGAGCTCAATTTAATTAGCATATTTAAAGAAGGCTTCTTGAATGATGAATGTGTACATGTGGGATCTCTGAGGAGTCTAAGGTTTTGATTGGTAGAGTTAGGGAAAGCATTTCAGTGAGAAAAACTGTTACCTACAAACAAGGAAACTAGAAAAGAGAATTGGGCAGTTTCTTTAAACATATGTTAAGGCAGTGATCATAATCACAGACTTCCTCTTATTATGTTCTTTGTTAGGCTTTTGCTCTCATGTGTTGCTATTGCTGTATTGGTAGCCTTGTGATTCTGACTGTCATATGAGGGTTACAGATTTCATCAGTGGTTTTGGGGATGTCTGACATTTCTAGAGTCATGCTAAATACCACAGCCACTAACCACATAAGGCTATGTAGATGAAATTAATTAAATTTAAATAAGTACACACAGAGCATTTCCATAAATACAAAACGTTCTATTGGAAAAGGAAATGTTTATTTCAATTTGAGATCTTCCATGTAGTTAAAAAGGAGCTCTGGTAGCTAACCGCAAGGTCAGCTAGTTCGAAACTACCAGCTGTTCCGCGGGAGAAAGATGAGGCGTTCTGCTCCCGTAAAGATTTACATCCTCAGAAACCCTATACAGGGTCTCTATGAGTCAGAACTGACTCCACAGCACACCACCACCACCATGTAGTTAAAGATCCCTTGGGATATTCATATGTTTATTGATTGCCAGTCTTCTCTGACATACTTTATTGCTTTTATGCATGATTTATATTCTTTGATGCCTTTTGAACTCAAGTTTTTGCGAAAGGTAATTTTGAGTATAGGGTCTGGGCTGTCAGCGATCAGAGCTGCTTTGGTGTGCTTTTTAAAGCATAGACTCTGAAGCCAAGCTTGCTGGGTTCCTGGGTATCAGTTCAGCTACTAGAGCTTTGTGATTTGAACCTCTTAATTAATGTCTCAAGACCTCCATTTTCTCACCAGGAAAAATGTGATGAAACTTGTGATAAGGATGAAATGAGCTAATCCGTATAAAGTGCTCAGAACTGGGTTTGGCACATGGTTGTTACAATTTAAGTTTATAGTCTACGTTGAACTTTGTGTTTTATAAGATATATGGACAGTAATAAAAACTTTTTGAAAATCAGCCCTGGTGTGGCACTGTAGGATAATCACTGGCCTACTAAAACAAGGTCAACTGTTCAGACCCACCAGCTGCTCTCAGAAACCCTAGACAGGGTCGCTATGAGTCAGAACCAACTTGATGGCACACAACATGACTTTATGATGAAAAAATTGTCACATTATAAGTAAAAGACATTTCATGCAATGGTTAGTCACGAGAAATGAGAAGTATGATTTCTCTAGGATCAAAGTAATTGGTGTAAACAATTATATAAGAATCCTCAAAGTGATTTTGATTAAAATGCAGGTTTAGCCTCTGTTTCTTTTATTACAGTTGTGGTGATAATTTACATTTTTATTTGTTTTAATAGTATGGAACCACCCCTTTGGTTTGGGCTGCACGAAAGGGTCATTTGGAATGTGTAAAACATTTATTGGCCATGGGAGCTGATGTTGATCAAGAAGGAGCTGTAAGTATCTTTTCTATTTTAACCCCTGGTAATAGAGATGTGAAGCCCTGGTGGGGAGCTGTAGGATACGCCCTGGACTCGTAACCGCAAGGTTTTCGGTTCAAACCCACCACTCACTCCTTGGAAACCCTATACATGGTCAGTATGAGTTGAAGCTGACTCAATGGCACTTCACAACAATAAAAATAGGGTTTTGGTTTTATGAGAGAAAAATATTTTTCTTTTATGTAACTTTAAAAATTTCCCTCCAGTTCTTAAGTGATGTATAGAAAAATGAACATTGTCTGTTATCCTCATGGTGGTAGCTGTATGCTGTCAATTTGGTTCTGACTCATAGCAACCCTGTATAGGGTTTCTGAGGCTGTAAATCCTTACGGGAGCAGAAAGCCTCATCTTGCCCCTGCAGAGTGATTGATAGCTTGGAATGATGACTTTTCAGTTAGTAGCCCAGCTCATTATCCACTACACTATGAGAGCTCCTTCTGTTATCCTGATAAATCAGTTTTATTAGACTATATATACAATTAGGAGTCCTGGTGTGGTGATGTGAGTTCATGCGCCAGACTGCAAAGCTGTTTGAACTGCAAGGTCAGCACGGTTCAAGCTCACCAGCAGCTCCTGGGAAACTCTATATAGGGTCGCTAAGGGTTGGAACCGACTCAACAGCACTTAACAACAACATATATAATTAAGGAGTCCTGGTGTGGTCTTGTAGGATAAGCAATTGGCCACAAGGTTGGTTTGAACTGCAAGGTCATCAGCTCAAACTCACCAGCTGCTCCTTGGAAACCCTATTCAGGATTAACAACAACAACACATATAATTAAAAGTATTTCAAACAATTTAAGATTATTCAATTTATTTTAAGATAATGTAGCTATTCTTTATAGAGAGTCATAAGTTCCCAAAATTTATATACCCTAAGAATATATTCATAAAAGTCTATATAATATAGAAATATTTTATATTTATAATATGTTATTGCTGTTAAGTACTGTGGAGTCGGTTCTGACTCATAGTCACCCTGTGCAGGGTTTTTGAGGCTGCATATCTTTATGGGAGCAGAAAGCTTCGTCTTTCTCCTGTGGAACAGCTGGTAGTTTTGAACTGCCGACCTTGAGGTTAGCAGCCTGATTCGTAACCACTATGCTACCAGAGCTCCTTATAGTTTTTCTTTATTAAAATACCTTTTCTTTAAAATTGTATTTTAATTTTAAAACAATTTTTTTAGTTGTGATGTGTTTTCCCGCTTCATTAAACAGATAGAGATGAGAAATCACTGGTCAGAATCTAGACAGCTTAAAAGTTGCTTGGCTACTTCCTACTGATTAGGTTGTTAGTTCTTTATTGAGCACCTGCTATGTACTCAGCCTTGTGCTAGTTGTGCTGGGGAGACCAGAGAAGTCTAACTGCATTTCCCCTGGGCTTGTAATGATATACATAAAGGGACAATAATTAAGTAATATATTTTTTAAAAACCAAATGAACAGTTGCTGTCAGGCACAGTAACCCCATGTGTGTCGGAGTGGAACTGTATTCCACAGGATTTTGAACGGCTGATTTTTTGGAAATAGTTTACCAGGGTTTTTTTCCAAGATGGATAATGAGGGATTACTACATGTCTAGCTATAATGAAAGAAGAATAAAATCTTTAAATATTACTTGATTTTTTAGGATAATATAAAGCAGTTTCTCTTGTTTTTGTTTCTTTTTTTCCATTGATAAAATCTACTAGTTGCTGAACTTGAATGCTGTGTAGTGATAAAGCAGGGTTCTGAAACATCCTTGGAAGTAGTGCCTTGACTGGCCTGCAAAAGTCGGCTCACTGTATTGTTGATAAAGTGGATGAGCAACTTGTCCTATGAGAAAGAACTTGAGAGGACTTATTTTAATCTGAAGATTATGAATCCATTTTGGGTACTGATCAAAAACCAAATATTTCCATATGCAAATAATATGATATCTCAAAATAGATAATTTACTCAAAATATGTATCTTTTAAAAGACTCATTTAAATTAAGACAGTTTTGGAAAATGTAGTTTGTAGATTGGTGAGAAACACCAGAGTACATTGCATTTTTTCTTGAAGTATTCTATAGTTTCTCCTATAGGTGTTATTATTTTAAAAATTCATCGTTTGAAGCCAGAATCTTATTACTTTCTATTATATTATTTAGAATATCCAAAAGTCTCAAGCCCACTGCTGTCAAGTCAGTTCTCGTGCATAGTGACCTGGTAGAGCTTTCCAAGGCTGTTTATCTTTTGGGGAGCAGAAGGCTTTGTCTGTCCCCCTCAGGTAGCAGCCCAGTGCTTATTCTGCAGTGCCACCAGAGCCTCTTTATTTAGAATATGGTGTTAAATTCTGAGCATCTTGTCAACTATTTTATACTTCATTGTTGTTGTTATTGTTATGTGCCATGGAGTCGGTTCCGACTCATAGCGACCCTTACATGAGTTAAAAAAGCTTTCACATTGTAATTGAGTCCACAATCATTTTAGGGAATTTAAAGTCCTAACAACCTTACTTGCCTAAGAGAATTAATATATGTTCAGAAACGAGAGTATGGTTCCTAGCCATTTTGGTATGTGTTTGATTATTTTTTTAATTGACATTTTATTTGATTATAGAGCATCTATTTGACAACAAGTGTTCTATGATTATGGTATAAATCATATTTTTCAGAATGAACTAATTTCTTGGGGGGTTTTTTCTGAATGGTTTTTAGAATTCAATGACTGCACTTATTGTAGCAGTAAAAGGAGGATATACACAATCAGTAAAAGAAATTTTGAAGAGGAATCCAAATGTAAATTTAACAGACAAGGATGGAAATACAGCTTTGATGATTGCATCAAAGGAAGGACATACAGAAATTGTACAGGATCTACTGGATGCCGGAACATATGTGAACATACCTGATAGGGTAGGTTACCTGTTTGAAATTTGTCTTCTAATGACAAAGTTCATGGAAGATTACCTGAATTTCTTAACTGCATTTTAAGATGGTTCATATATGACATACAGTTGCTTTAAGATAACATTTTAAGTTTTAAGATAAGTTTAGCAGTAAATGATAAAATATTTGTGCCCTTTGCCAAAATATCCAATCCAGAATTTGCAAGAGTAGGAAGAGTGTTGCTTGATGAAATAATTTCAGGGCAAAGAGATGTCTTCATGAGACAGTGAAGTATATTTGAGCTTTGTACCAGGGAATGGATTGTCTTATGTATTATTAACCTGTAACTGCTAAGTTACATGGGTACTGGTCTAGGAACCAACCTTCTCCTTTAAGTGTGGATAGAGACCCAGTGATTACCATTGAGTGTGCCCACAACTCATGGTGAACTCATGCATAGCATATAAAACCCTACACCAGTCCCACCGGTTATGGATCAGACCATTGTGATCCACAGAGTTTTTTACTGACAGATTTTCTGAAGTAGAGTTTTGAGCCATTCTTACAGTTCATTTTAGACCAGAAGTTTTTCTGGAACCTCTGCAGCATTGTAACGACATGTAAGCCTTCTCTGACCAATTGAAGGTGCATTGTGGGAATCGAACCTGGGTCTCATACATGGAAGACCAAATTCTACTACTGACATACCCACCACTATTCCTGGATCTAGCTTTACAACAAACTCCCTTTTTTTTAGAATCCATGGCTTTCATTGTACAGAATTATTCCAAGAGATTTTTATTGATCATCTTGCTGACTGACAGTAGCAGTCTTGACTTATTTAATATATATATGTAATGGGTAGTTGCATTCAAAAAGAATGCTTATTCTGGGTGACTTGTCATTCTAAACTTTTGTCATGGAATTTTAGAGTCTTCATTTTGAGACATAAAGCCCTCTGTTCCTTGCAATGAATGTTACTGATATCAGATATCAACATTAGCTAATTAAAAAAAAATTTTTTTTTTCTTATTTTGAGATAGTGACATTTTTTCCAAGTGATTTTCAGAAAAAAACTGAATTAATGATTAACCTAAACTTCAAAAGTGTTTATTCTCTCTCATCAGTTCACCTTTTTTGTGTTTTGATTCTTTCAGAGTGGAGATACCGTGTTGATTGGCGCTGTGAGAGGTGGTCATGTTGAAATTGTCCGAGCCCTTCTACAAAAATATGCTGATATAGACATTAGAGGACAGGTATGTGTGATTATGGGTTCCTGGTGTGGCTCTGTAGGATAAGTACTAGACTGTGACCCACAGGTTGGTGGTTCAAACCCACCAGCTGCTTCTCGGAAACCCTGTGCAGGGTTGCTGTAAGTCAGAACCAACTTGATGGCACCGCACCACGTGTGATTACAGTGCTGTTGTTATCTTTGACAACAATTAGTTGTGAATGTTGGTTAATAATGTCAGTTTCCAAACTGTACTTTGGAGATAAACTTTTTTTAATTAATTGGTTTTTATTTGTAGTTGAGGATACTGAGGCTTATCTAGGTAACCTGCCCAAGGTGTCATACTTCTAAGTGGCATTGAGCTCTAAAGTAGCATTGCCAACCTTGCCCAACTGGTAAAAATGCAGCCAATAGTCTGTTTCTGTAAGACCCGGAATGAAGACTGGTTTTTACTTTTGTTTTTTTAAAAAACTTCTCCCCGACCTGTACCCCCACTCCCACTGCTTTCCCAAAACTGTTCTTATAAGGGTCATCAGTGGTCTCCTGCTTGTTCTCACCACTAGAACTATCATTAAAAGGAGGCATTGTGGCCTGTGGTGAAGGCATTTGGGTGGCAGAAGAATGTAGTGGTTATTTGTGTAGCTTTTTAAGTGTGTGGCCAGGGCCTTGGGCAAGTGACCTACCTCTTCTCTTGGTTCCTCTATTTCCATCTGTAAATCAGGCATAGTAATCGACCACCCCTTATACATTTTTTTTCTTTACTTTACTGTTTTAAAGGATTTTTTTTTATTGTGAATTGGGTGAAGGCTTACATTCGCTAATCCATATACATTTGGTTTCATCTCATGGATTGCAATCCCCTCATTGTAACATCACTTATCCTACTTCCTCCCTGTGCCTCTTTTTTCCATTCCTCCTCCTTTTCTGGCACTTCTGAGCTTTGTCTTGTCCTTGGTAAGTATTGCCCTTTTGATCTCAAATTGTTGATTATTTTGAGGTATTCGTACCTAACTAGTATTGTTTTACCACTAGAAGATCTATGTATTGTTTGACTGGAAATGAAGTCATGGGAAATAGTTTAGTTCTAGACCTGAAAGTTGACTTAGGGACCTAGTATCAGGGGTCTCCCAGTCTTTATCAAACCAGTAAGCCTGGTCTTTCTTATGATTTTTGAGTTATGTTCCACATATTTCACCCACTCTATCCAGGACCTTTTAAAGTGATCCTTTTCAAAACAGTTGGTAGTGGTAGCTAGGCACCATCTAGTTCTTCTGGTCTCAGAGTTATAGAGATAGATGTTCAACTGGTCCATTACTCCCTTGACTCATTGATTCCATTAGTCTCCATTTTTCATCACTCCTCTTTCCTCTGCACAGGGAAAGACCAGTAGTTGCTCCTTAGATGGCTGCTCATAAGCTTTTTAAAAAAAATGTTTTATTGTGAATTATGTGGTAGTTTACATGGGAGAACATTAGTTTTACATTCATCCTATCATATATCATTTCATTGCCCTGGTTACAATCCCCTCCATGCATCATCAGCCAACCAAAAGGTATATCATACAAGCCTCTCCCTGACCCCCGTCGTCAGCACATAGCCCCTTTCCCTCTCTGGGTCTAAAGTCCCCAGCTGCTCCATCTCTCCATGTCATTGTCTCTGCTTCCATCTCAGGCATCACTGCTTCTCTTCCAGGGACCTCTGCTCCTAAACTGAAAAGTTAATCACTCCCCTCCTTGCTATAAAACGTCTACCTTTACATTTCCAACCCTCACAATCAGTCCTGATAACAGTTATTCCCTATTGTATCACAAGAGACCCATTTGCATTTCATTTCATCAGCCTCACCTAGACAGATTGGATAACACTCAGTGGAGATTCTACCTTCCTCCACACCCTCTGGATCTAGGTTCTTGAAACCTTGTAAGCCAGTCACTTCTTGCTTTTGTAGCCCCTCCATTTTGGGTAGCCAATGACCAAATTGCCCATCCCTGTCTACTCTGTGTATGGAGAGGGTGGGAATGATCTTTGCTGTAAAGATTTGTTCCCTATTTTGAGCTACTACATCCATAAGTGTAGGTCAAGTTCATCAAATTTTATCAGATTACTCTTTTTTTTTTTCCTCTTCTTTCTTCTTCTAGTTAAGCTCTGATCATCCAGTCATTGAAGCCAGGTCAAGTGGGTATTATCTGCAAGTGTGGGTGTTCTTGTGCATATGTCCTCTCTTCTTATCAGCTGGATGCTTCACTCTTCACTCTAGTCCTCTGTGGCTATATCACTGACTTTGGGCCCAAGTGTCCTCAGGTCTTGCCACACTGCTGGCCAACCAGGACTCCACCCAGGTTCACAGGAGTCTATTGAGTGTTGTAAGGCTTAGCTTGCAGCTTCATTGCTGTTTTTCCCTCACTTCCCCTTATCGGTGATGAACGTGGTCACCAATCAGAGTGTGTATTCCCATTGAGTCTTAGTCTTGGAAGGGGTTTTACTCTGAGGGGACCTAACCACTTGCCTTGATGTCTCCTGGATGGGTAACTTGCTTGTTCTTGTAGTAATCAGTTGGTCTGCCTCTATGGTTTTGTATTTTTCCTGTTAGTCTTTCTTTTAAGAAGTATCTTCTGTTCTTCTAGCCACTCCAGGCTAGTCTGCCCGTCCTTTCAAGAGGAAATTTCCCACCTCTGAAGATTTTGGATGTTGTTCAGGATTCCACCTATAGTCTTATGTAATGCAGAGGGCTCATAAGCTTTTAAGATCCTACTTGCTGCTCACTGAAGTGTAGGATGTAGAACATTGTCTTTGTGGACTCTGTTATGCAACACTAAGGTCCTGAGAACTCCCAGGTCTAGTGACTCAAAGTATTTGGTTATATCTAAGATGTTTTCATAACTTTGCCCCCTGTATGTTCTATCACATTCATGGATATATCTGCAGCAAATGTACCATGTATAAATACCCTCTATAACAAACCTGTATATATTTGTGGATGTATTCCCACACCTCTCATACCCATCAGCCTGTGTGTCTATCCAACTATCTACATTGTTGTTGTTGTTGTTAAGTGCCATCGAGTCAGTTCTGACCCATAGCAACCCTGTATAGGGTTTCCAAGTAGTGGCTGGTGAGCTTGAACTACTGACCTTGCAGTTCAAGCCAATTTTGCAGTTTAGCATGTTAACCCATAGCACCACACCAGGACTCCTCTATCTACCATGTTGTTGTATGTCGTTGAATTGGTTCTGACTCATAGTGACCCTGTATAGGGTTTCCGAGGAGCGGCTGGTGAGTTTGAACTACTGACCTTGCAGTTTAACGCAACCTTGAGGTTGAGTGCTTATCCTGTGGTGCCACACCAGGACTCTTATGTATGACAGTATTTACCTCTGTAGCTTTGAACCATCATGCTCCTTACATGTCTTCCCATACCTCCATAAATTTTTTGTCAACTTCTCTCATTATATATTAGTTTCCCTTTTACTCATGTTAACATGTTAACATGTTCACCCTTTACTAGGTGAATTAACCTCTTGCCTTCTGTCCTACCCCTGGTAATCTTCAAAGAATGTTTCTTATACAGTTAAAATGTTTTATTTACTTTTTACAGTAGTGGCCTGAAACATTTTCCTTTTGTGACTAATTTCACTCAGCATAATGTCTTCTAGTTTTATCCATGTTGAGAGGTGTTTTGAAAATTTATCACTAATTTATTGGTTGTGTAGTACTCCATTGTTTGTATGTCCCTAAGTTTATTTATCATTCTTCTGTTGACAGGCAGTTTTGACTTTTTCTGTATTTTTGCTATTGAGAATAGTGAGTGCTACAATGAACACGATTGTGCATATATCCATTTGTGTCATTGTTCTTGTATTTTCTAGGATATATATCAAATAGAGGGATTGCTGGATCATAGGTATTTTTATTTCTGACCTTTTGAGGAAGCACCATATGTTTTCCACAGAGTTTTCATCTCTCCACACTCTTGTCAGTATTTGTTCTATTTTTTTTTTT